CCCCAAAACCCCAAAACCCCAAAACCCCGAAATGGCAAATCAGCATATGATTAGAGTTAATTTGAATTTAGATTTTTAGAAACATTATAATTAATATAATGGCAAATAACACTGATTTGAAAATTGGCGAGATCCACAATCTTGACAGACAAATCGAGACTCTGATGGAATGCAAGCCTCTCCCTGAGACTGAAGTTAGAGCCCTTTGTGAAAGAGTAATTATCCTACATCTAATATGGCCAAATTTTTTATCAAGACAGATTTTAATGGAATTTATAGGCAAAAGAAATCTTGATTTAGGACTCAAATGTCTCAAATGTAAGAGCTCCTGTCACCATCTGCGGAGATATTCATGGTCAGTTCCACGATCTAAAGGAGCTATTCAGAATTGGTAAGCCTAATTTTCGATTTTAAACGAAATTGCAGGTGGTCAACCTCCCGACACAAATTATCTATTTATGGGAGATTACGTTGATAGAGGTTATTATTCAGTCGAGACCGTCACTCTTCTCGTTGCTCTGAAAGTCAGATATAGAGATAGGCTCACAATCCTTAGAGGAAACCACGAAAGCAGATAAATCACTCAAGTGTATCACTTTTCTTGAAATATCTTATCTCATCAATAGGTATGGATTTTATGATGAATGCTTGAGAAAGTATGGAAATGCTAATGTATGGAAGCAATTTACTGAATTATTCGATTATTTACCCTTGACTGCAGTCGTTGAAGGCCAAATCTTCTGTCTCCATGGTGGTCTCTCACCTAGTATCGATACTCTTGATCAAATCAGATAACTTGATAGAGTTCAAGAAGTTCCTCATGAAGGGTAAGCACTAAATTTCTTAATGATTTTTATCCGACAAAAATTTCGAGAATTTTTCCTCATACTTTACATATAGTCCAATTTGTGATTTACTTTGGTCAGATCCAGATGATAGATGCGGATGGGGTATCTCACCAAGAGGTGCTGGCTACTCTTTCGGGTAGGATATCTCTGAACAATTCAATCATGCTAACAACCTGAAGTTAATATCTCGTGCTCACTAGTTGGTGATGAACGGATATAACTGGTCTCACGAGAGGAATGTAGTAACTGTGTTCTCAGCTCCTAATTACTGCTACAGATGTGGTAATGAGGCTGCGATCATGGAGGTAGACGAATTCATGAAATATACTTTGTAAATAACCCTTTTCCTTTTATATCTTATAGCTTGCAATTTGATCCTGCGCCAAGGTAGACTGAACCTAATATCAGTAAAAGAACCCCTGATTACTTCTTATGAAAGGGTGATTAATTTCTTAGAATTCTTTAAAAGTTAAAATCTCATTATAAACACTCTCTACAAATCCCTTCTCTCACCATAAGCTATCACTAGTGTCTCTCACTCTCACAACTGATTTAAATAGTCCTTATTGAGATGTGATTACAAGGGCGGTTCTATGGTGTAATGGTTAGCACTCTGGACTTTGAATCCAGTAATCCGAGTTCGAGTCTCGGTAGAACCTTCACTTTTTATATTTCAATCCCTGTTCCATAAACTACCTAATAATTTCTATTATTTATTAAATATCTCAGCAACCTAATTAATTATTTTATTAAAATTAAGCAAGTAATATTCATTTTATTATAATTCAAAATAGTTAAAAAGAAAAAATAACTGGCCTACGAAATATTAAAAAAACGATAAACAAAAATGGCCTCATAAACATAAAACACAGATGATTAACAATCTAACAAGTATCTAAATAAAGGTTTGCAACTTAATTATTAAAGCAATCAGTATCCTATGCATTATCATTTGAATATGAAATCAGAATCTCAAGCTTAGTATAATTTGAGACTAGAAACAAACAATCAAAGCAGCAATATTTCTGATAGGACATTAGTTAAGAATTAGGTATTTGACTCTCATCATAGACTTATTAAAAAAAACCATCGCAGTTATTTGAGTTCCCCTGATAGTCATCACCGAACAAAATTGAGTCATTACAAAGAAGATACTGTGCTAATGAGGAATTCATAAAAGATTGGGGAGGATGATCTGTAAAATGATAGTTAAATGCTTAGAGATATCGTTGAATTATATACCATGAAAAAAGAGTCATCAATAAGATTGAAATCGTTGAATATTGACAACTCACATTTTACAGATTAGAAGCAAAAAATCAGATCCTTTCATGAAACTCTATCAATTTTAGATAGTTAACTTAATGAACAAAATTACTAAGGACAGGAAAATAACTTCATGAGTTTAGTCTCAACCAAGAGTTTAAAATCTCTAAAAAATAACACCTTAAATATTTCACCTCTGAAATCTAATTAATAATAACTAACTAGTAAGAATTTGTTAACCATTTTATCTGAGTTACAGACTATTGGTAAATGGAGGCCTAATGAAAGTAGACAACAATATATCGCAGATTTGTCTAAACTTATTTTGAAGAAACTTGTAGAAGTGCAAAGTTGTGATTAGGAACATCAGAGAATAATGAAATGCGAGAAAGATGCTCTAATTTATTTAAAGGATTTAAAGAGAAGGATATTCCCATAAATTGATTAGACCGAGAGTAATCTAAGTTAAAATGAAGAAGGAGAAGAGGGATCTAGCTACTATGGAGAATCAGATTCCTAGTCTAATAAGTTAGAAATGAATCAAACTATCGATTAAAGAGTGTAGGAAAATGAATAAGATTTAATCAAGATTATAGAACCGATTCCAGAGGAATCTGAAAAACTTGATGTTGTGGATTAAATTAAAAAAACTAAAAGTTCAAGTTCCAAGGGATCTAAATTAAAAAATAAAAATAAAAGAGGAGCATTTTATGGAAGAAATAAAAAGTCACCTAAAAGAAAAGACACTAAGAAAACAACTTAAGGAAGTGAGAAATTTATTACGATTGAGTTAGAGCATTGAAGTGTCTAAGTAACTCTCAATCCAAACTAGAATGAAGATAAATTTAAATCTTTGACTCCATAAAAAGTAGACCAAGCGATATAAATGACATTTCAGAAATCTTCAATTTAAGATAGAAATGTTTCTAGTTCAAAACAAGTGAGAATAAAAGAATAAGCAAGACCTTTGTCAACAAAAAATTCAAAAAAATCTTCTAGGATATTTTAACTATCCAATTCCTCAAAAAGGTTTAGATCAAATAGTAGCAAATCAAGAGGAATGTCGAATTCATCGAGAAAAAGTAGAAACTCAAAATAGATAAATAAAGAAATGAAGTAGGCTTCTATTGGAACTCTGAGAGATTCTTTTGATTTGGATAGAGTCATTAGAGAAAATGACATAATTTAACAATCATTTAGACATACTATACAAAGCACTAAATTAAAAGATTAACAGCAAGATCAATTCAGTGATGTTCAAGATAATCCAAATTTCATGTCATATCAGGATAATGGGGATGCCGATTGCGATATTTTAATTAAAAAAATGCATAAAAAAGTTTTTAGTAAAACTACTAAAAATAGAAGAGTTTAAGATGCTCATACATTTGGTACAGCAAAAATTGGATCTCAAAAATCAAATGATCAATCCTCAAAAACAAGATTATTTTGTGAAGGTGATAAATTAAAGTCTTCTCTAATTGATATTGATAAGTCATTTGGATTTATTGAAGAAATTTAGTCTCGATAAGATCGCAAGAATTAGGATTAGGAAACAATATAAAATCCTAGGAGTCCTAAATCAAGATCAAGTGGAAATGCTAAAAGCAGTAAAAAATTACTCCTACTTCAAAAAAGTAGTCCTGGGAAGAAGAAATTGAATTTGAATTTGACTTAGAAATTGACAGATTAAGATACAAAGTGGAATAAGGTTATAAGATTCATGAAAAAGAATCCAAAAGTACTGCTAAATGTAATTCCAACCCCAAAAAGAGAGCCACCAGAAAGAAAAGAACACTCTGGGAAGATCGTAAATTTGATTACAATTAATGAAAAGAATAAAAATATTCACCCTAGGATGGTTACTTATAATATTGATGATGATGCTAATGGAGGAAGCATTTAATATATCCAAAAGGTGCAATGGTTCAGCAAAGGAAGACCCCAAAGTTGCCTTAGAGTGAGAAGTCCTGAGTTTAAATAGTCACAGAAGGACATTTACTATCAACACAAAAGAATGTAAGAAATTTTTAATTAAATTATCTAATAGTATAAGTAATTACTATAAGGATGAAAGACATAAAGAAAAGAGAGCTGCTATTGAGGAACAAAGATTCATGGCTAGAAAATAGAGTAGTTAATCGAAGACAAAATCTACAAAATCAAAGATCCTTGTGAAGTCTACTTCAAAATCAAACTATAGAGGTTCTACAGCCGCAACCTTTGAAACCAATCCAGCGATAAGAGTCATTGATAGTAGACTCAAATAGAGGTAATCGGGAGAAATTCCTAATTATAATTAAAGCAAGAAGAAGCTAAAATTATAGGCTAGTAAAGAAAAATAAATGCATAGGATTAATCAAAGTCAAATATAATAGTCCATGAGCCAAGTAGAAAGCAATTTTCAGAACAGTACAAACATATCTCAGGAAAGGCCTAAAACATCTCATGCTTAAAACAGAAGAATAAAGAAACTAGTTGATGCAGCCAATAAACTAAACTCAACTAGTCAACCATTTAGCACTGGAATGACTGACCTTTCAAATGTAGAATCAGTACTTAAGAATTTTAATGACTAGATGTTTGGAGTTTAACCTAGAAATGGGATTGAGGCTAGTAATACTGATGGATAATCAAGATTTAGAGAATAGAGATTTAATTAAACACAGCTAGGGAAAAAGTCAGGATTAAAATTAGAAAGAGATGATTTTTCTCAAATGAAATATAGATTGAGGTAAATGCTAGCCACTGAAAAATCCAAAACTTACGTTGGCCATCCTCTAAATCTTGAAACGGAATTATCTAATTAAATTGCTAATTTGGAATAATAGGACTAAAAACACAATCATGAAATGTAATAGACTGGAGTAGGATTGTATAAATCATAATAAAACTTTGTAAATCAAAATTAGCTCTCTCAAAATGACAGTTCCAATTAAAATCATAATTTGAATATCAATCAAGATTCATCAATTATGAAAATAGAGGAGTTTTAATACTAAAAGCTTAACGATGAGGAGCTTATTCTTGATAAAATAAAATCAGAATCTATTATACCAGATAATCAAATAAGGATGATGCCAAAGGAAAATTCAATGATGATAAAATCATAAGAAATGACAACTAATAGAAGAAAGCTTTAACAAAGATAAAAGTCAAAAGAAAAATCTGGGGAAATCAACATATCAAGCCGTAATACTTTTGATCCTTAGCAATCACCAAAGAAATCAGATCATGCTAAGACTATTTAAAAGTAATCTCCCAAGTAAAGAATGCAGGATGATGTAAGAATTAGAAATAAGATTAGAGTTCGGTTGTCAGGTGATAAGAAGATATATAAAAGAGCAGTTCCAAAGGACAAGAATGCCACTCCAGAAAAATCTATGAAATATCTCATTAAAACGATTTAAAGTGATGATTTGAAACGAATTATAGAAGAAAATGAAAGGGTTCAAGAATAGCAATAAGAATAGTTAAGAATATCATAGCAATTGGCTATAGATTAATAAAAACTTATGATTTCTCCATCACTAAAAAAGTTAGGCTCTGATAACAGGTCATTGCATTTTTCTAATTAAATAGATGAGAGATCTCCTCCACCAGTTGTGAGATTATTCCCTTATAGAGATCTTAAAGACAGTAAGCTATTTAAGCAAGTTTTATCTGAGAAAAATGAAAAATCAGCTAAGAATTCTCATCAATCATCAAATAAATTATTGAAGTCCTAAGACAAAAAGAAAAAAGTAGAAGATCCATACAAATTAGCGATTGATGAGCTTGATTATACTTTGGAATAAATGAAAAAGAATCCTCGAGATTTTTCCCATCATTAAGAAGAGCTTTAAGAGATTTATATCAAGGCTATGGATATATTAGAAGTATCGATGAAAAACATGGGGATGAAAAAAATATTTGCAAAGATTAAAGACTAGTTTTGTAATTCAGCAGATTTCAGGACTACTTTCAAGCTAGTTATTAGGCAAAAAATGATGAGAGAGACAGAGTAATAGCTAAAATATATTTTCAAAAGCTACTTAGAATTTGTTGAGTATGAGAGTATTATTGAACAGCTAAGAGATGACCGAGCTGAGAGGGATTTAGTAGTTTACCAAATTGACAAATTATTTGACATTTACGAATCCCTAATGCCCTTAATTATTTAGTTCTTAAAAGTAAACAAGATTTTTCAAGGTGTAATCGTCATTCATAACAGAGATTTGGAATTATTTTTGAAGGAAGTGATATCAAGATATAGTAGATCATGAAATTTGATTGCATGAAAAAATAGAACTTAAAAAACAGAACAGAGCAAATGATGTTAATGTTTATATATTTTAATTTGTAATTATAATTAATTTAAACTAATAATAATATGAAGAGAGGACTTGCATCTTAAGTTGCAGCTAAGAACAAGGAATAATAGGCTTAAGCTAAGGCATAAGCTTAAAAAGAGAAATAAGAGGCTTAAAGAACCATGTAGTAAACTAAATAATTTGACAACTATGAAATCGCAATTTAAATCATGAAAGCTAGACGCAAAAATGAGGAAGCTTTTCCATCGAAAGATATCGAAACGTTAGTGGAAATGGCAATTAAAGTTGTAGCTGCAAACTTCGATAGGTACCCAGATCTTGAAGGAGTCACTGATACTTTCGTTTAATCTGAAGTAATTAGAATTTCTATGAATATACTCATTTTAGATTGTAAAACTTGCTGATAAGTCACTGCCTATTACAGTTACAGCTCGTAATATTGACTTTGAATTTTATTGGGAAGAAAAATGTAAAAAATAACTTAAAAACTGCAAGAAAGAAGATCATGGATGCAGTCATAAGCAAGCTTATATTGAGAGACATCTTCAAACTCTATTAGAAAATCATAAAGCAGAGGCAAGTATTGAAGAACTCAAGAAAGAGTTGGAGGCAGCCAGATATGAAGTATTTTGCTTAAACATTACTTAGCTTTTATCTCATTTGGATATGGGAATTGTATTCAGATATCTCCCAAACTTAGCTTATTTAACCTTGACTTATGGAGCTAAGCATGTTGGAATGGAATATGAAAGACCATTATTCGGTATGAAAATGTCTGATGCAAAGATCTTTTCTGAATGCTTAAGATCTACACAATCACTCATTTACTTATCACTTCCTGGCAATCTTATTGATGATGACCTTATCTCTATCTTGATAAAAGGTCTTATGCTCAACAAAACATTATCTCAACTTGATTTTTCTCACAATAAAATTTCAAACTCAGGTGCTCGTAAAATTGCTAAGTTCCTGCTTTAAACTTAAATTCTAACCCATTTGAATCTATCAGATAATATGATTCATTATGAAGGTTCAAGATATCTAGCTTAAGCACTTAAGGTTAATAAAAGTTTGAGACACCTGAATCTAAAGCTTAACAGAATTGATGATAAAGGTGGTTCTAAGCTTTGTATCGATTTGTAAAACAATAACTCTAATCTAGAATTCTTGTCTCTATCTTCAAACAGTTTAGGCCACATGTTCTGCGAATCTTTGGCTGAATTCTTGAAAATAAATAGAACTATTAGAAGAATAGACATCTCCTGCAACTTCATAGATGACTCAAATGCCAATACTCTCAAGGATTCTCTTGAAAGCAACTCAAATATCATTGAAATCGATGTAAGGAACAATCAACTTAGTGAGGAGACCGAAGCTGAGATCAATGAAATCGTAACCAAGAACTTGCTTCTCAGTAAAAATATTCCCTTCAAAAAGTTAGGAGACTGTAAGTTTATTTGCATAGTTTTAAAATTAATATAGTTTCTACATAAAACAGAGCAGAATCTTAGTTTAGTGCAACAAAGTAATAAACAGCAGCAGATAAGAGAGTTAGTGTTGCTTCACCTAACGTAGGTAATACAGGCAGAGAGTAGGATAGTCCCAAAAGAGATTGAAGGAATTAATAGGGGACCGGAAAGGGCTGGCAATAATGGCTTTATTGGCATCACATACTATATTTAAGTTAGCTAAATAAATTATTTAAATTGTCAATACCACTCTTATCATTTGATTTTAGATTCATTTCCATTTCATTTTTTATCTAGTGAATTAATTATGGGGTTTTGGGGTTTTGGGGTTTTGGGGTTTTGGGG